GAATCATTGTGTATTTAACTTGAATTCTGCTACAATAGGCTCCGTTCTTAACTATGGGTCTGTAACCCGAGTATTCTTAACCTGGGGGCTACCTGTAGCAGCAAAACTCTCTCACGCAAGGCTGACCCAGTGTTCACCATGTGCTGGGAATAAGGTTTGTGCTTAGCACACTTCTATTTAGAACTATTAAAAAAAATAACCTCACTTCATCTGGAGGTGGGCATGCAAATTCAAAACTACAATTAAATAAAGTGTCACTGGGTACAGAAAAAAGTGCCTCCAACAGCAACCCTCTGGGTAGGTGAAGGAGACCCAGAGGTAGCTGGAGAAAGGAACAGAGTAGCACAGGCTGGACAAGCATTTGACGGCAAGGAGAACACGAGTTTGCCTCTTTAATTCAACTTGCAGCTTGTTTGTAGAGAAAATAAATCACCTTGAGCTTGGAAGAGCTGCGTGTTTCTGAAAGGGAGGTACTCAGCAAGACAGCTAATCAGCACAGCCAGTACAGGATAGGTACCCACTGTTTGAGCCAGTAAAAGATCATTTCTTTCACATCTTCAGCTAGACAGTATCAATCATCGATGGATGAAACAGACACACGCCAGCCTGCTGGAATTGTGTAGTTTTATTTAAAACAAAGGAAGTGTTGGTTTTTCCCCCACCCCGCAGAACTCTGCACTAAACACTTAATGGTTGTACTTTTGTATCAGGTGACGACCAACCGCAAAGGAGATCCAAATTCAGTTTTAAAAGTCACTTTTTACCGGAGAGACCTCTTCTGTGACAGAATAATCAGTTAACCATGTAAAAACAAACGTTTAGAGAATTCTCCACTGGGGGAGCAGTGTTGAACATAATGCATATGCTTTTGTTATTAAATCAGTTTTGCTCTCTTTCAAGAAAACCAACAAAAATCTCTGAAGGGGCATTGGGAAAAAGCAAGTCAAGTTTTTCAGAAGTGTTCACATTACTGACATCCATTCCATTTAAAACCTGCCTTTTGGTGCCAAGATAGAAGCTCTGGATATCTTAACTATTTTAAGATGAAATGCTTTGTCTTTTGTACATGGTTAATGCGTGTGTATCCGGCAACTCAAGAAACATGTTCAAAAGCAAGATGAGGATTCTTCAGTCTACTTTCACGACGCTGTAAATCTTACTAACAAACCAGAAGCAAGCAAAGAACCCAATCGTTCCTGCAAAACAAGAATAAATCTTTTAGAAAGAGAGACATTAAGAGAGTCACATCTTCAACCATATTCCACCAACGTGGAGAACATAGACAACTAGCTTGCTTCTGGATTCTTTTTCAAAAATTGACAGTGAATGCTTAAGAGAAAGCTTCATTCTTAGCCTGAATGCACAAGATAATGTAAACACATACAGTTGGATCTAAACCAGTGTTTTTTCAAACCTGGCCACTTTAAGGTGAGTGGACTTCAACTCCCAGAATTCCCCACCCAGCCTAACCAACTGGCTAACATTTCCAATAAAAAAATTAAAAACCATTCAATTAATATTGGAAATATTTTGCCAAAGGAAGGAGGGCAGTTCAAAATGGAAATAATTCCAGCCTCTCTTGGCTCAAGCTCCTTTACCCTCCTGCCATCTCCATCATCAATCACTGCATTGTCACCAAAAGCCAGAAAGGATCAGTTGTGGTTTCCACAATACACTCAGGCATAAACATATTTTCTCCGCAGCAAAGATTTTAGACACTGGTGGGAACTGAGTCAGGAAGCATCTACAGAGCCTGTCTGAGTAATTATAAAATTATAAAAAAATCTACTTCAGGCTGAGAACAACCTGCAGTTTTAAAAGGTTGGCATCATGCTCAAAGATCAAAATCCTGTTGTAGAATTACCACAAACCAAGCTATGCTTCAATCAAATGTTTGAAGCAATATGGCATGTAGTGAAAGGCAACTGTTTATATGACTCTCTGTAATTCTGGCTGGTACAATTTCTCAAAGGCAAGGCAATGGAATGGATGAATTACTGGCTTCCCCAGATGTTTTCTATTTAAGGAACAGTAGAAAACTGCAGCTTGGTTAAGCACCTAATTCTTCCTCTGCATCTGGGGAAAATGATTATTCCGTAGAACATTAATCAGAGGAAGATGTGCCCCAAGGCATTACACGGTGATCTCACAAGTTATCCTGGTGATGTAAATAGCAGTGCCATCTAGGGATTGGTCTGAACAAAGAGAAATCCTCCTTTCTAAGGAGCATATTTACAGAAGCCACTTCTAATTGCAGCCAGTCTGGAAAGACATAAGCACATTTGATAGCAGATTTAAAGCAATTTAAAAATGTTTTCAAAGCGGGTTTTGTTTCCTTGGGTGTATTCAAAGAAAGCAGTACAAGTCTTGGTTAAATATTATACTTGAACCAGACAGAGCAAACTCTGTCTTGTTATTAATGAGTCTCTGTATGCTGTAATGCAGGAGATTTTCCAATATGGGTTGCTTCAGTATTTCAGAAAGGACTCACCTGTGAAAAGGAAGAAAATCAAGACCATGATCATAGTATATCCAAAGTATAGGATGGTGCTAGCAATGCCAGTGATCTGGAGTTTTGAGAAGAAATAATGAATGGCGTAGATGAAGAGATAAACAGCTGTAAAGCTGCTTGTCAGGAATGATCTCCACCACCAGTGATAATCCTAGGAACACAACGAGAGAAGCTGAAGAGCAAATATGTACAAGACAGAAAAACCCCTTACGTTAGGGCCAGCGGTGGGGGAATACTGTTGTTTTTAATTAGAATTCCAAAATCTACCAACTGGAGCCTGATGCAAAATGAGGGCTCAGAAGGTGAAGCCAATTATTTAGAGCCTCCTGCACCAACTTGAGGTCCTTCAGATACATCCGGAGAACAACTCCCAGAACGTCTGCAAAATTTGTCCCCAGAAAACCTAACTGACTTTGCTGCCTCCCTTACAGGTCTCCATATATCTGTGGAATGAATTTTGCATCTATGGGTCACGGGGTCAGCACTATGTAATTCGCCCAACCTCTGATCAATTCATCCTTCTGCTTTCCAAATTAATCATGGCACACTCCCCAAACCCTTGCATTCTCTTTTTCCTTCTGTGAAAAAGGACCTGGACAGAAGCAGCGGCGCTCAACCCTTTTTAATTCCCTCTCTAAGCTGTTAAGCCTGGTTCTTTGGGGCTACGTTGGCTCCGCACTTTAATGGGGTTGTTTAGTTGGGCGTAAAAACCTCAAAACCCATCATAGGAAATGCAAGTAGGGGGCAAGCCCCCTTTTTATGTTCCATCTGGTTGGCAGATGCCTTTTTAACGATGGTACGCCAAGAAGGCCACTTGGGCACTAAAAACTGCCACAGGCTCTCAGGTTGGCAAGAGCAAATAGAAAAATATTTCAGTTTTCCTTTCCTTGGCCTTTTGCCACCATGGGTAAGTATTTTCCTTTATTGCCAGTCTTCAACACTTGCGGATCCCCAAGATGCTTATTATGTGGAAGGGACTCCTGCCTTTGCAGACCACGTGTCACCAGCTTTTCCTTCCATGGAACAAGCCTCTCCCAGCCGGCAGCCATGACGCCTACGAATCCTCCTATGCAACTTCGGGCAGAAGGAGCAGAAGCCTCCAAAATTACCCGATACTACGGGTCTGATCTAACAATACACTCATCTGGGTCCCAAACCAATTCGCCTGCTTACCTCGGCACACAGGTGAAAGTAACAAAGCAGGACGGTGGCCTCTGAACAGGTGATCAGGAGGATGATAAAGACTAAGAACAAGAAGCCAAACATGTAGTACATTTGGTGAGACCTGAGATGGGGGGGAAAAAAGGCACCTGGGTCAGCCTATATCCTAATCCGTCCCCCTTCTCAAGTATGCAGATTCAATCCACAAAGGAGGCCTAGCAGGGATTGTGAATAGTAGAATGACAGAAAGAAGAGTTTTGCTCTCCAAATGGGGAGCAGCCCGTAAATCACCAGATTAGTGTGTGATTTTGTGAATCCATCCTCTCTGGTCTTCACCTTCTTAACTGGGCTGATTCTCTATCACAGGCCACTTATCGGCCCTAAGAACTTTCCCATCTGCCCTCTGCTTCTGAATGAGTCACTGTTCTGTGCTTGGACTACCAGAGGGAGGACGTTATGTCCCCAGAACCCTAGAGGTGAAAAAGGCCACTGAAGCCACAGAGTTCCTCATCCTGACAGAGGACGGCCCAACCTTTGCTTGACCACATCCAGTGAAAGGAAGCCGGCCGCCTCTCTGCTTTTGGTAGTAGTGTTTTTTTCTGCTAGCAGCAGCATAAATAAATAACCTCTTAAAGTTTGGTATTGAGAGGAACAAAATCAGCTACAACTGAAGCACGTGGAAACAGGCTCACTGCTTTAAGAACGAGCGTGAAATTGCAAAGGAGAAACGACCAAACCTTGCACGATTTCCAGCAAAATCCAGGCAAAGAATCAGCACGTCCTCTGCTACGGAGAAGTGTTTTTGACTTACACAGGAGCACTTCATGCAGAAGCTGAGAACTCACCACACTGCTGGTGGACAGGAATGACCATCATATCTGAGCACTAGTCACGCTGGCTGGGGAATGGCAGACTTAAGTGCACGGAAAGGGGAACTACTCACCAAATGCTGTTCAGGATAAAAAAGAGCTGGATAAAGATGCATCCAAATGGCAGGATGCCTCCCATGACGATCCCCGGCAGAGGCTTGGTGAAAAAGGACTGTTCTGGGATCTGGCGAGGAATCTGGTTCGTACGCACTGGGTGCTCAATGGGCTAAGAAAATTAATTCGTGCAGATAATTAGACCAGGCTTTCCCAAGCTGACACCCTCTGAATGTACTGCAATGATAATATGCTGTGTGTGTGTGTGTGTGCGCACGCGCGTGTGTGTGTGTACACACATGCATACGGGTTGCGAATGGAAGTCTGGCCCATTCCAACAGTGCCATGTTAAGAAACTCTAGAAAACTCTACATAAGTAAACAGAAAAGCCACCCTGTGGGGAAATGGGGGAAAAAAAATTGCCCCCGAAAAAGTAAAAATCGCTGATCTGTTGTTAAGAATTCCAAATAAACTGTTCCAGCCCAGCACAGAAAGAGCTATTCCAAACGTAGAAGAAAAATGTTCCTTGCGTAAAATCTCCCCATACCCACATGAAATCCAAGCCCCTGATTTTTAAGAGCCGTTTGCAAGACCTTTTGATAACCCACCAGAATTCAGAGTCTGATTTCTTTTACTGCCACATTTCTCTTCTGTAGTGCTGCCTTTCCAATCTGAGGCCATGGTGGCACTCGAAACCTGGAGGGCCCCAGGTTGGAGATAAGAGGGTGTAGCACAATCACTCCACCCCAACACATGGTTGTGTTATGTGGCCAGGACCGTGCACAGAACAGCCCCAACACCATCCCTCCCGAATGTTCCTTGGACTCAAATCCGTGGCTATTCTGAATTCAGAAAAAGGACAAATTTTCTCACAGAAAGCAGTGGGTTTTTTAAAGAGTGAAATAGCATGGTTTTATTTCTCACTTACCTTCTCCTTGAATCCAAAATATGCACCAATAAAGGTCAGTGGGACAGATATTCCGAACCACATGGCCAAGATCGCAACCAGCGTTCCAAAAGGAATAGCAGCCGAGGATCCCTTCACCCAGAGGATAAGGTTCATAATGAAGAAGTCGGCAAAGACGATTCTGGGGGAGCAGAAGAAGGCACCCACGTAGGGCCAGGGTTAACCCAGGGTCCCCAGTATGTTGGGGTTCAACTCAGGGGCATCTTGGTAAAATCTGGAGAATTCTCAGGCACAGACGAAACGGTCTAAGTATCTACTGTGGTGAACACCATACCCTACTCCATCTGCATACGTCCGCTCTGCACGTAGGCTGCACAGAATGGCTTATACTGTCCAAAAATAATGTTTCACTGGGCTGTAAATAGTCAACCTTTTATTTATTTGACTTATATCTCACCTTTCTGCTTTGGTGAGCGCTCTTGCCAGCTACCATGAGATTACAACCATGAGAAGCTACTATCCAATCCATCTGGGTCTGTGCACCTCTATGTCAGATAGCACCGTTTTCCATGCTACATTATGAACATGCTATTAGCTACGAGAATAAGTCTGGAAGGAAATAAATACTGCCCAGATCTCATTGTTCCCTTCACTATTTGTGGAACCCTCCCACTACCCCAATTCTATTTTCTAAAAAATGATGGCTTCAGCAGGCCCACAAATGCTACATTCCATCTCTAAAGCCACCTTTTTAAAACTCAGTTTCTTCTTCCCACTGAATGTCATGCCTCACAGTCCATTGTGAGAGAGGCCGCTTTTCCTTATTCTCAAAAAGCAGCACATGTGCAGTTCTTCCCTGTCCAGCAGATCTGCAGCTTCGCAGCCACTAACCTCGCCTGGAAGCTGAAAGCATCACCTTCCAGCGAGCAGACGGGGCGTCAGCTGCACACCGAGGCAGTGCCAGGAAGGGCCAATGAAAGCTTAGTAGCCTGGGACTCATTACACAACTATTTTTACAGCCCAATTGATGGCTTGCTCAGAAGCAGGCTCCTTCCCCAGCAAAACTGAGCTGAAAAGCAAAGAGGCAGCCAATTCAATTAAGCCTGAGAGAGGCATCTTCTTTCAGCTGAAAAGGATGGGAAGGGTCAACTGGCACACCAATGTCCCACAAAGCCGCACACCCCATAAACCGATTATCCTTGTGGATGACGGCACTTTAGGCTGTTAAAGCTCTGCTTTATTCCTCTGAAGGAGGGAAAGAGAGAGGAATCTTGCCCGTCCACAGATTCTCAAAATCAATCCACAGAGTATGAAATGGCCTCAGGCTGTTTGGGGCATTATGCAAATCTCTTGAACTGGCACGGCATAATTGAAACATCTGTTCTTATTTTGCGGTCCCTCTTCACACAAACATGCACATCATCTAGGCAATCGTTCTATTTTTATGAAACGGAATTTATATCTTAGAATGTAAGTTATCAGTGTGGCATTTTGCCACTCAGTTGGCATCAGGAAGTAGATCTCTAGCTGGGGCGTCTGGTATCAGCATGAAACTGATGGCTATTTGCATTCTCTTCCTTCCTGCCCCCTCTGATTGTCTAATTCTAATCTACTCAGGCATACTCTCTGCTGAGACTTTTTTCCTGAATTCTGAATCAAAACAGCAAGAATCTCCTCCTTAAGAATTACCTTCAAAAAGTAGACTTGATCAGGTATTTTATGTTTTGGGAATGAGATTCACTGAGCCTGTATAGTCTTAACTTCCTTAAAAGCTACAACTGAATGGCTGGATTCACATACTGCAAGAAAACATTGTATGGTTTGCTCAGTTTTTGCTTCACATCATAACTATCCTGGATATAACACTGTAAATCAATGAGGATTTTTGCAAATGATCGTTTGTATTCCCTGTAAAATAAGTACCACTTTCATACAGAGCAAACCAAGAGGGAGACATGTTAGATTTCTACAAAGTTAAATGTATTTTTAAAAGAATGAGAAAAAGAAACAGTAGATGCACAGACAATAATTCATCTTGCATTCAACAATGCTGAAGTCAAGAGGGCTTATTGCAATCAACTGAATTTGATAAATGTCAATTAACTGTGATAAATAACATAAGCCTTTTTGCACATTAACCAATTTTCAAGGACAAAAATATGGACAACAAAGTTCTATTTATCAAAAAATGGAATGTGGTTACTAACCCAGGGCAGAAGAGAGCTGTCAGCAACACATTTGTCTTCCATTTTTCACCTCTAAATGCTAAGAAATAAAAGAAGTAACACCAATTACTACATTCATCCTTTATAATCACTGGAAAATTAAAACCAATTTTGATTAGTTTAATGCCAACGAGGTTTTTAAATCTTGTTGCCACCTCTCTGTGCCACCTCACTGGCAGCTTTTTAAACCTCTTGGATTTTAAAAGCAATGTGAATAAGGAGAACACAATTATTGCAAAGGCAACTATTTTGCAGATCTCTGTGGAGCGATTCCAGCCTCCTTCCTCATTAACCCTGTGAAAGACCACCACAGTTGCCATCCTGCAAAGGTGGCAGAGAGAAGTCCAAGGAAGGGTTTGGAACAACTCCATCTCACACAGTTCTCTACCTCTTCTATGGCTGTTGCCATTCCTGCCATAACACACACCGTACTCACTTTTGTACATTCGAGCAGACACGTAGCCCGCTGGGGTCCCCAGTAAAACCCAAAGCACCACTGCGCAGGTCATCAAAGCCCCTCGGTTGGCTGGTGAAAGGAACCCAAGGCAGGCAAGGACTGGAATGAAGACAAACAAGCAGGTGTCGAAGGGGAAATGAGATTGCACGTCATTCAGGCATCCTTTTTCTTAACAAAGCAAAGGACAGGACTCAGATGCTAGGTCTCTTTCCTGTTCAAGTCATCTGCACTGATTGGCAAACATTCTTCAGCGTTTCAAGAAGACTTTCCCAGCCTGTCTCAGAAAGGCCAAGGATGGAACTGGGGCCTGTAGCACGCAACGCCTGGGCCATTCCGCCAAGCCCAACTCCTCCCATATAAGCCTCAGAGCATCTTGGTCTGATGCCTGAAAAAGTGGGGGCCTTTGGCAGCAACCTCCCCTTGTCAAGTTCTCAGCCAGTCTTGTTTGTTTAGCATAAATGTGGACCGAAAGCCTGCACTTCCTCCTGCTAGGAAACCATTTCCCATTCCAGCTGAAATGGCAAGAAGGGCACTGGCTTTGTGAGAAGGAAATGCTGAGGCAGCAGCAAATCCAGGGAGAAAGACGAGGCTGGCCTCAGAAACACACCCGCGCCAAGCTGAGTAGTGATGGTTCGGCCACTGTAATCTCATCTCCGTCTCCCTCCCAAAGCAAAACAACCCTGACGTTAATAATACTCTTACTAGTTTATCATGACGCTGTAACACCCCATGTCACAACAGCCTCCATGTTCCCTTTCCTCCCCAGGGGTCAAACTCTAAATCAAAGTAGAAATTGCACTGGCCCTCCCAACGTCGCTGACGTACCACTCCCCCTTTCCTTAACGCTGGCCATTTTGAGCTGGGGCTGCTGGAACCGTGGCCCAGCGGCATGGGGAAGGCCACAGCTTACCCAATGCTGCCTTCTGGGGCCGGGATCAGCAACCATGCCTCGCCTTAGAGTTTGCCTTCCCCCCACTGACCCACAACAATCTTCCCTAACTGGCTCTCCCAGAAGCGGAGAATTTCACTCCAAGATTTTGAGTAAGACTGTCAAACTCTCACAAGATGTACCAACCACCTTTGCCATGATTTATTATTAATATTTGGTTTAATCTAATGGGGGTGGCAGATGCCCAGATGCCCACTGGCACCTTCTGCCAATCCTTGTCTGGGGGGCTGGACCAGTCTTTTTACATCCACTGGGAAACACTCCACATACATTGCTGGTGTTGCCCAAAAACACTGTTTTAGCCAGTCAAGCGGGACTTACACAAAGTAATAAACGTCATGATGAAAATCTGTGTCCCTTGGCCTAAGAAGACAGACAGCAGCATGCCTTTCCTGGGCGGCCTGAACACATCTCCGTGGACCAGCTTCCACCCAAACTCCTCCTGGGCATCCTCCTGTAATAACATCTTTATTAGACGAGCATCACGCGACAGGGAATTAGCACACGCCAGACGTGAAAGTCACTTTCCCCGCCTGATTATCTTTGGGGGTTGGTTTCTAAAAGGGCCTAATTTCATCGGCCTCGTTACACGCCGATTTTACAACTCCCCGATGGCAAGCTGGAGAGGGGACAGAAGATGCAGATTTATTAAGAATCACTTATATTGGGAACAAGAAACAAACATTAGCAGACTTTAGCGTAAGTGCCACACTGTTCACAGGGATTATACAAAAGGCTGTGTTTAATGTAAGCTGTAGCAGCGACATTTAACACATTTATCTCCCTTTGTCTTTTATTATCAAAATCATTTCAAATCTGAAGATGCACCTGTGTGCCTCAGGTATTTTCCCGCTTTCTCCCCACATTAAAATCAATAGAATAACCTATTAGCTAAATATAAAACCCTATTTGAAGCTGAAATACTAAATACCACCTAGCCCATACAGCTTTCTCTGAACTAACTCTGTCCCTACTAGGGTTTGGCTGTTTAATGCTTTTCTCCCCAGGCAATGCCCCTTGATCTGGATGCAAATTCGATTCTTCTAAACTGTTTTTTGTCCTTGATCCAGATGCAGTTTGATTCTTCCAAATTGCTTTTTCTCCCATCCCCAGTGGAAGCAGGATTTCACCAAAGAATTTTCATGGCAAGCATTTAGTGCTTACCTGAACATAAATGGTGCAGGAAGAAAGAGGCAACGTCTGAACCTTTGTTTCCTACCTACTCAGTCTGCAGATATCCACAAGTTCAACTACTGAGCACCCTTCTTTCAAATGCAATTCAACTGCCCGGTTATCAAGGGACAGTCTGGTAAGAGAGAGGACAGTGGCGTTTTGGAAAACTCTTTCCCTTAGACTTGGCACGTAAGCACCTACATTTTTTCAAATCCCAGGATGCAGCTGTTACTGTTGTGAACTGCCTCCTGCACAAATCTTTACAGTATTTCAATGCCTACCAGCATGCACATTTACGAAACTCAAGCGATCAATCCAGGTGTTTTTCAAGTCAGCTCGCTTTTTTAAGAAAGCAGTGGTAATTGTACAGAGGGCAGATAACAATCACAGACTAAGAACTACTCTGTGCTCAGTCACAGAAAGAGAACTTCTATACAGACTTACTATACAGAAGGAGAACTTCTTTTCGAAGTTGGCACTTGCTGCATATATAAAGAACAGGTAAAGTGCACCCTTTCTCCTTCTGATACAATAGTTTGTTCCCCGTCACTAAAAGGGCTGTTGTGGATTTTAATTTGATTGACTAAGACCTCTTTAATTAGATGACAGTTCTTCCCTAAGGTGACAGTTTTACTTTCCAAAGCCAATGGCCCACCTGTAAACTGATCTCAACAAGGAACAATATCCACCAATTCTAGAAATTCTAATTTTCAAAACAAACAAACAAATAAATAAAGGACATGTTCAGGGGATATTCTACAAGCTGGAAAGGATATTGGTTATCAAATTCAACCTTCTGCTCAGGGATGAAATCTGAACCTATTACTTCGGTAGGATAATGACAACCACACTGGAAGTAAATTTGAAGGATTTTTTTTTTTCTGTAGCAACGGCAAGGAATCGTGCCTGATGTTCCCCAATGTATGAGATTTAGGAGGTTAGTGACGCCGAGGGAGATACAAGGACAGGTAGATAAATTAAACTCCTCACATGGAAAGAGAGAAGAGCAAAAACTCTTCTCTTTTTCCTAGAAATTTGACAGCTATGCTCTTGTCCCATGTCCGCCCTGGCAATGTGGCAATGCTTGGTTGGGGGGAAAGAAATCAAATTATATACTACAGCTGAGCCTTTGATTTCTTTCATATGAAGCAAGGCACTCCTCAATTTAGGGAAGCAGGGTTTCTACAAGCCTACTCATTACCTCCAAATGACAATTGATGGAAACCCGACTTTTTGCAGACTTTCATTTTAATTAGTTAAGTAAATATGGACTATTTGGTTTCAGTTTTAACAGTTCTTCACTAAGACAGCCGCAGGAACTGTTTTCGCAAGCAGACCACCTAGGGCTTCCTAGCAAATAGTCGAGCAAATGAAAAAAAGAAAAAGAGAAAGAAGAGATTCACCAAGCAAAGTGTCAGCTCTTAGAAATACTGTACAGATTTTACACACTGTGTGCGGTGGACCTGGTTTTAGTTTAGCATGCTGTGTGAACCCAACCAGTTGGTCTTTATTGATAGGCAAGCCATGGTTTAGTGTCAAAGCATGGGCCAGATATCTGAAGGACCACACAAACGGCTATAGATAGGTCAAGCATTCTGTCTTCTCTTGGTTCATCAGCTTTACAAGAACCCAACCTTTCCGTTGACAGAGGCTCCAGTACTAGCTGCCAATATCCATCAAGGTTGTCAAGCTTCTAATCTCACACCCGCATGTATTTCTGCAGGTCAATTCCCTTTAACTTTGAGAGCTTAAAAGAGTTTTAGCTTACTCACTGAAGAATCGATTTTGTTGTATCTTGCAATATCTTTATGAAGAGTCCTTAGAAGAATCATGGCCACCATTCCCGATAAGAAAAGGACAATCACAAGGGAATTCATTATGCTGCAGATTAAGGGGGAAAATAGATTTCAAACCAGTTCTAGGTACTGCATACCACTTTGAAGACTACAAGGGAACTAAAGGCTTGTTGACTGACCAGTCACAAAAATATAAGAGAGAATCAAAGAGGACAATAATATTTTTTTTTCATGATGAAAAAAACTATCAGGCCCCTGATTTTCAGGGTGGAATCAGCACACCCTGGGTGAAAGGCATGATGCATCCAATGAATAAAATACAGTATGAATACTTAAATCCATGTCCTTCCATTTTGGGAATAATGCTAATTAACAGCTTATCAGTTTCTCCCATGGATAACATAATGTCAAGTCATGACTTGAAGAAGTCATGGTGTAGACTACAAATAATGACTTGGTTTAAAAAACATGCATTCTGTATGGCTTCCCTTCTCTCCCACCTTTCATAAATGATATCTCACCTAATGGTCTTCAAGAGGCAAGCAGCTTTCCAAACTAGTTAGCTGGTTTGGATATTAATAACAAGCTACCCCATTCCCTAATTATGGTTTTCAAGCCACAGCTCCAAATCCAGTTTAGTGGCCATCTGCAAAACATGGTTTGTCAGATAGACTGCCAAATTTTGATAGTAATGCCAGTTTGTTTTTAATCATCTTTACTCTTATTTGTTTAGAAGACTGCAAAAAAATAAAGAGTGCTGGGATACAAAAGCTAACCAACAGAAAAGAATCATATAATACTAAAAACAATGATGAACAAAATTAAAATTAAACCAAACCAAAGAAAATAAAAAAGATCCTCCCCCAACTTTTAAAGACCCTAACAGAACATAACAAATTGCAATACTAAACAGCTAACATATATGTAGATATCACTGGTTTACAAACAAAATCTTATAATACTGTATTGCCATCAAATACAAAAAAGATAAAAATTACAGGATACCACTATATTATTGTAAGATAACATAAAATCTATACCAAAGAATATATTACTTCATTCTTTGTTTAGATGAAAATATTGCCTTTTCTAGAACAGATAAATTACACATATCCAGAAGTCAATCCTTAATGTCTGGAATAATATCACTTTTTCCAAATTTTCAATATAATTCTTTTTGCTATACCCAGGCCTTTTACATCTGTAATTCCTCGTTGACCATCAGATTCCAGAGTTTGGGGACATAATTCAGCATCACCGTAACATCTTTAATGATTAGGAATTTCCCATGAACCTGCTTATATACGCTGAAATACTACTCTAAAAGAAAATCTGATATCCATCTTTTCCAAAACATTCTTTGGGCAGTCCAACAAACTTGAAATGCAATTTTTTGATGAATCAATTTCAGTCTCAAATCCGTCATTACTATTTTAACGTTTTTAAGGACTTGCATCCCATCTGAATCATTTCATGCATATTTACTTTGCACGGAATAAAGGCAGGCAAGAGGATTTTACTTTTTTTCCATATCTGCTGAATTCTTCCTTAACAGTGAAAGAGATAACATTCTTAAGCAAGTCATGTGACAGCATTTTTTTTTAAAAAAAAGAATGCTGGTCAACTGTAACATTTCAGAAAATCTCGGAAAGAAACAGCAATAAAAGCAAATACATTTTCTTCAAAAGGGACATTCTTGAGTGAAACTGAATACGCAGAGCTGCTCCCGAGAGGAACAACCGTGCTAAGGCTCCACAAAGGAAAACAAGAAAGTTCACTGGCTTGAAAGTTATCTTTTTTTCACTAGAATTCCTCAAATAAATACAAGCGGGTTGAGCTCTTCCCAGTTCCGATCCAAGCCATTTATTTCAGAAGTTAACATTCGTACCTGAACCACTGAATGTTGGTGTGAGGCATGGATTCCAAAATATAATCCCACCTTGAAGCCCATTTAATATCGTTGTTTTCCTGCATGGGGAAGAAATTGGAGCTAAATCATAAAAGTCTCTTCCCAAAGAATAAACCCCATTACAACCTTCATTCTTGTGACTGCAAGACTTCCAGTGTCACGCCGTCTTTGCTTTTGGGACCCAGATGTGACATGGTGCCATTTTCCCACAGCGCATCAGGACAAACAGGATTTGTACGCCTATGGTTGTACGACTGCACAATATTTTGGAGAGGGGATATTTTTCCTTGCTTTTTAGAAACTATATTAAGCTTGTTTTAGGATTTTTTTTTTAGGGTTCTCGGTCTCATAATGTTGAGAAACCATGCTGATGGTTTTTGGCAACTACAGGATTTGAGGGAACAGTCATAAAAATGGATCTGGGGTCCCACACAGCCCTTGGATCTCAAGTTGCTCCTCCTCCAGCAATACCCAGGATGCACACTGACCGTTTCCATAAAAATGATTGCGCAAAAGCTATTTGCATTCAATCAATTATTTGAAACCAGAAACCACCACAACTTAGAGGATACCCATCCAAGTCCTGAACTGCCATGCACTGAAAAACTGGATCCTTCAAACTCACAAAGCCTATGCATATAGAAACCAGTGTGCAAATCATTGACTCAGAGTGATTATCTATTCTCCATAAAAGCAACTAGTCCCAACAGGACTAACACATCTTAAGAGAAGAGTTGTTCAGTTACACAGCCATTGCATTCCACTATTTTAAAAAGGTGGCTCATCCATTAATGATCCCAAGGAATAATCACTGATGTGGCAAGATTACAGATTCAAGTCAAAGGGAAAGTTAATAGAACATGATGCCATTCTGCAATCTAGGCAGAATCAGCTAATGCCTTAAGCTGTTGCAAAAATACCACCAGAATGGGATAGCACATGAAAATCCAGGTATTAAGCTCACTCTGGAAGTGTTTGTGCTCTGGCAGATTCTCCAGAAAGCTATCAGTCAATCAGCCACTCTACATCAATAGCAAGCTTTCACTGAGATTAAAAAAGAGGCAGGTCTACCCCTCTCCCTTGTTAAGATCAGTAAATCTATGAACAATGGAAACATATTGCTTCTGAAAAAGAACATCTTGCGGTTTATCATCAGCTTGTACCAAACCACTTTCTGACTTCTGTTAAAAAAAACCTTCACATATTATGGGCAGTTCCTTGGAAAATGTGTGGTTTAAAACTTCAAAGAAGTTGCGTAAAGGCAATCAATTATGTGTGAAGGCACTGGAAGAATTGTGTAATACACAGCACATAACCCAACTATGGAAGGCATATTTGGGAAAATATGAATGATCTCTGTAGGGTGTGCCTTTTGGTAATATTGTTTATACTTAGGACAATATCTGTTTTTTAAAAAATATATATTGTAAAGAAGCTTATTGTGAGGTTTAGTATATGCTATCTGTCCACTAAGCATCAAAATCTGAAAATCTGAATCATTGAAGTAGTTGTGATTGTACGTACACAAGTTATACTTACTTCAAATTTCACCGAATATGAATAGATCACATCCAATTTGTTATTAAATTCTGCAGGAATTTCCATAGGGGGACCCTTACAGGATAAATTGTTTATATCTGTATGCTTGTAACTGCAAAGATAAATATATACATATTATATTTATAGAATGATCTAGAGACCTTCCTCCAAATTTGGTGAAAATTTTAAAAACCAGAAGCCTTATTTAAGATCTAGGACCACTTCATATGATACTCATGTAATATACAGAGTCCTTTGGAGTTGGGTGGCTAATGAAATCATCATCATCATCATCATCATATTGTTAAGTGAAGACACATGCTGGATTCCCAGTTTTAAGAACAATAATGGAAAAATCATGGACCTGCATTTCATACAATATAATATATTTTATTTTAAGTGATCGATATACTGTAGACCAGCCCTGAGAATCTTCTTCTATTACAGAGGAGGCAAATATACAGTTCAAGTGGGCTCAGATAGAATTAGATGTATCTTGCAATATATTTACACAGAATAATCTTAGTGAATGAAGCGCTGGAAAATACTCAAACCATTTTGGTTGGAATAGCTTTGATTAGCCCAGTAACTCAGCCATCAATAACACAAGACTACAACTTCATGAAAGTTTTGGGGTGGAAGTCAAGCTCGACAGCCAGCAATATTAAAACAACAACAACACATCATCTTCCTTTTCCATTATAAAATAAAATTCTACTGAAGAATTTCAGGACCACCAAAAAAAAGAAAAAAGATTGGTGCAGTCTCAACTGTGGGCGTTTCCCCCCCTTTGATTTTCAATCATCTCAGATTATTCTCTTGCAGTATCTTCAGACTCCAGAATATTTTGTTTTGAGGAAAAAAAAATAAGAGTAGTTGATAAAAATGTGAGAACAAAACATCAGCGAGATGTTCTGCTTCTTCACCAAATGAACGAGAGATGGGCGGATCAGCAAAAGGAAAGCAAAGGACTTAACCGTGCCTACTCCGCCCTCTTGTGGAGTGCACAACCACACGCAAAGGATAATTATGCGCTGCCCGACTTGCTTGCAAGGGCAGCTAGATAAATTGACTAAATAAATAAATCAACCAAATCATGATCTCTATATTACCAGTACTTCAGGGGTCACTGGCTAAGGTCAGTAGCACTGATCATTTTCACTTGCCACCTTTAGAGGCTTTCAATCAATCAGCAGAAGAGATGCCCTGCCAGCCATGGTTCACACCTCTGGAGGGTTGCCAGTTGATAGAAACTGGGCCTCGTCACTGCCATGTTTTAAGAAAGTGCTATGAACTTATTTGCTCCTTCTGAATTTCCTTCACCCCACTAAGGCATTCGTGGGTTATTTTTCGATTATTTTAATAGAAAAGATGTTTACTTTCTGGGGTTAGGCTGAGGCCATCATCCTTTTATAAAGTTGATCTGTTGGATTTTGGCTTAGCATGCTCTGAGAACCCAGCCAGTGCGGCTTATTCAATCAATCAAGGGTAGCATGGGAGATAAACTCAGCCAATACAAGTCAGCTTCACATATAAGCCATTCTATGTTTATTAAGAGAGATCCTTCTTGAATTCTCCGTGTGGGGGATAAAATCCAGGACGCCCTTTGAACCACACATTGAATAAGAATAAATAAATAAATAAAAACAATTTGTGCCCACTGCAATCCATCAGACTCTTGGCAGTTCACAACATAGACAACAATGTACAAGATTACCATCTTGTTCTTTCCTTTCTTTTTTTTTCTTTCACTTTGCATTTATATTGTTCCTATTAAATTGTTTTTCTGTTCATTGTAGCATGACCTGTCAAGAGTCATGGGGTTGGATGGCATCAAATCAAACGAAAAACTGACCGTGCTATGAAGCATCCACAGTAAAAATAGAAAAATAAGTCATAGAATTAAACACCAATGCAGAACAACAGAAAGAACCATCAATCATTAACCAGCATCATCTTGGTCATCATAAACCCCACCAAAACCATTTTTTTTCAGAAGGCCAACTAAGTAACGCCCGTTGCTATTCCTTAACAGAGCATGTCTGAGTTTCGGCTTCCCTCACTTCACAACAGCTGAGGAATGCCAGCAGCTTCTCCCAGGATGTCTGAACTTGGCAGTCAAAACCAGCGGAGAATATGGTCCTACAGCTACCAACCCATCCAGGGCTTTGGGATTAAAGCCAGCACTCTGAATTGCGTATGGAAGCCAACGCCCAGCAGGGCAGGGCCCAAAGCACAGTGGCAAAGAGTGCTAGCCACAACCACCCTGCTACATTTTACACCACCAGAAACTTCCAAGTGGCATTCAAAGGTGCTGTTAGCACTCCAATTAATTATGCCAGAGAACCAAATTGAGTTAGGGCAAGTATTTATTGCCTACGAAATGATACCTACTACAATTAGTAAGGGAGCAGTTACCTTCTGGGTTCCAGCCGAGCTGCGACTAGTCGAGCCCCAGGCCAGTTCTCATCTTTTCCACTGTGGTATGTGATTGTAATGTCTACATGATTGAAGAGGTAGAAAGTGTTCTTCTTGTTGAACTCAGACTGAAAGATATTAAGATACCATTAAATACCCCCAAAACTGCACTTTTTGGGGGGGGGGAGATAGCAACAGGCACTTGGCCAATGCTGTTAGCTGTACCAGATCTGTGTTATAAAACAAAGAAATTAACCCAGATACACTGAAAGTTTGCTGATTTACAAACAGTAAGGATTACATAAATTTCCAGTCAGTTTCCCAGACAGAGCACATTCCCAAAGAACAAAGACCCTTAAGTTCATGATTTGGATCAGCCAGAGGTAGACAGGGCAGACTGTTTGGAGTTCACATAAGCTTTCCATGGCTCATTCATGCATACATCTGCATGCATTCACTATGAAAAAACTGAATAAAAATCCATATTCCATTCCATTTTTTGAATATTCCCTCCCTCCCCATGTTATTTGTAAAATATCCTATTTTAAAATCTGCATTTCAGCATATACTTTTTTGGGTAAAGAACTGCATCACAACATTTCTATGAATGTTGAATGGTTCTTTGTTTTCTGAAATGAATTCAACCTCGGGCAGCGTTTCTCAACCTTGGCCGTTTTAAGACGCGTGGACTTTGACTCCCGGAATTCCCCAGCCCACATGGGAGAAATCGAAATACACACAGGGCTGCCAGTTCAGACACTGTGTCCATGATCTAATCCTGCATCTAGACTATCATCGCAATTACCGAATAAACTAGAATTTGCTGGGATTACTTAATACTCTAAGCCAAAACTGAACAAACAACAGTATACCTTAATGTGATGCACAAACCCACAGTCCATGCCATTTCTGATTGCTCTTCAAATAAACTTGGAGAAATATGCTTTTGATTACTTACACTCATTACGCAAAAATCTTTTATCCGGCCATCTGATGCAATAAAACACCCAACTGGAAATCCAGGGTTACAGTATTTGAGGCCATCTTCTACATCGTAACACCAAGTCACAGGCATGTTATCTACAATCCTGAAGAAGAAAAATGTTCAGACCATTCTATATTATAAACAGTATGGGGTTTATATGCTTTTAAAATATACTTCAGAAATTTACACTTATTTACACTAGAGAAGACTAAGAGTGCTTTTCCCATGATTTTTTTCTTTCTATCTTTAGAACATGGCTGGACAACACTTATTCTTCCCTATACAGATCAGTCATTTTAGAGAACATATCCTACTCACCAGTGATGCTGATAATTCAATCGCATTCCCTTCTTCAAAAAATCCAGTTTATTTTTGTCTTCTGGCTTCTGTGGGTCGTAAGATTTCATGCACACTTTCTTGCACTCTTCATCTTTTTTAAATATAAACTGACATAAAAACAAAAGAGATCTAAATGTTTTGATCCATACTATTAAAGCAATTCAGCTGGCATTCATTCAAGATCATGTTTTTGAAATAATCATTTTGTCCAGCCAGAGGTTAAAGACTGCCATTTAATACCTATCTAAAAATTCTCCATGATTTCATTTTCTGTTCGGTGCCCCATCACTTTCTTCCTTTTTCCTTTTCTCTCTCTCTTTCTGACACTCTAAATATATTACATAGAAGGGTATTGGCAGACAACATGCCATCATCTGGGAGACAGACAAACTTCTTGTCCTCATAAAATCAGCCAAAGACTGGAAATAAGACGGGCAAGAAATAAAAGACGGTATCATTTCCCCTCTGCCCCACAAGCATGTCAGGGAAGTCAGTGCTCTATTTCCAGCAGCAGCAGCAGCCAGACATATGCCCCTCGGAAGCTCACACAGCAGGGGCAACAGTGATTCTGCAATAATTATATCTTTTTCTAGTGTACCTCTGGAACTCCTTTTCAGCTGACCAACAGTCAGCTTTATCTGGAAAGAAAATGGGCTGCCTACAATTTCTAAATAGCCCTTTACACCCTGCAAAAGACAAGAGTGCACAGACGCATCCTCCTCATGGCCACCCCGGGTCTGTGCCCCCAGCTGATTTCCATGAAACCTCTGTCAAGCAGGAACAAGCAGGTGACTGAAGAGGAAGAACCTGCCCGGGGTCACAACCCAAAAGAAGCTTCTCAAAAGCATTTGGAAGTCTGTGATTACCTTGTAGGGTGAAGAGGCTATTCTCTCGCCAAATAGAACTTGTCCAAGGTTTTCTGAAGGCCTTTCTTCTGTTTGATCTTTGCAAAAATCAAAACTGTGCAACAACAAAGTTTACTCTTAACATCAGAACAGCTAGGAGTATAACCCTTCATCTCTTTTCTCACTGTAATCCATACACTAGAAAAGCCACCCCCAGCCCAGCACCTTTCTAGATGCGAGGTGTACTTACGCATCATATTCATATGGTAAAACAGATTCAACCGAGTCCAGCCTGTTTACAAACAACTCAATTTTGGGCTAGAAGAAAAGAGACATTGTTTAAATAGTTTGAACTGAACGCAACGCACTGAACTAAGTTTTCTTAAATACAAAGATTAACATAGAAGACTAACTCTAATACTCTCACTCACCAGTTATGACAAAGAGTTTTGAACAGAAGCATCTTACACATTTTATTGATCTGAATTTGGAAACTGACCTTGGCAACAGTAATTTTAAAACCCAGAAGATATATTTTGATCATTTCCAACCACAAGTGGTTAAAAGCTGCTTCTAGGATGCTTTAAAAGTCTTTTTACAAATTTTGCCTAGTTGTAAATACAGTCTCACATACAGGTAAGGCTAAAACATTTATACCACAGCTAGGAAATGTTTAGCTCTACGCTCATACAATTTACTAGCAAAAACCCTCAACCCTAAAACAATACCCATATTCCTAACAACAGAACCTTAGCTAACATTATGTAGCACCCTTCAAAGGTGGTTGTACAGCTAGGCACCTCTCACAGAAACCCTACTGAATTATTTTTCATATTTCTATGTACAGATAACCAAGTCCAAGAGATGGTGGCCTTTTATGGAAGTCACAATAAACCACATTCTACAGAATTTTGACTTAATTGTGAATAGCAGTGGCCCATTGGAAGCAGCTAAGCAAATTCAGTCATGGTTTGTGGCTTCTGGTTCTATCCTGTTTAGAAAAAAGCATAAAACAGGGCACATTTATTTATACTAACCAAACATACGCAGAGTTGCCTAGGTCTGCTTAGCTGCTCCCAGCAGCAGGACAAAGCAATTTGAAAAAACATTGAAATGTAGCCAAGGATACATGTAGGCAGATGCAAGAAACCAGGATGCTGGACACCTTCTAGCCCCTGAGCATGCCACCTCTCATCCAACAAAGAACTAGGAAGCAGGAAATATCCAGAGAGGAAGAAGGAAGAAATATCCTCCTATTCATTCAGCTGAATTGTTCCTGTATGACCATTACATTACGCACTCTTTCTTCCTGAGCTCTACTCATATTCTGAACAAGTAGAAGATGGGTATCACAGAATCCTAATGAGCTCGTCCTGCAAGGTGCAACATACATCGGTGCACCCTGAGTGTGTTTTGTTGTTGTGATTTTGGTTGCTTTCATGGGGTTGGTTTTATGGCGGTACGCTGTTCCGAGTCACATTTGTGCAAGCTGGGCAGCCCTATAAATCCTTCAGATAAATAAATAAGCATTGCAAGGGGATCTCCAGGGTCATTAAGTCCAATACCATCTCAGGGCAAGAACTCAGATTAAGGCACGCCAGACAGATGGATCTTCTGGCAGCCCTTCCCCATTCCTCTAGATGACAGCAAACCACCCTCACCATTAGTCCTTTTTTCCCTACTTTTCGCCCTAAATCCATCTTCCTATGTCTTGCACTCGGGCAGCCAAGAGGATCCCCATGCAATTTAGACCAACCGATGAGAGGAGGAGAGTCCCCCTCGCATTTTGTTTGTTCCAACCCAGCTTCCCTAAGCCTGATGTGATGATCCAGAAAGATGAAATGGGGGGGAGGGGGCGGGTTGCAGGAGAGGAAAAGAAAACCAAGGAGGTCTTCCTGAGAACAGCAGGCAGGACCCTCGGAGGACCATCAATCCATTCGGCTGCAATTAAGGAAGCCTTTCTTTTATCCTCTAATTATCGCCATCCTCCAAGCTCCTCTGACTAGTAAACAGAAGGGGGGGGGGGGGAATCAGGATCCTATAAATGGCCTCCATCCATTTAAGCAGGATTCAGGTTTCGAAAAGGACTCCCATTTTGCAGGTGAATCCCTCTGATCTGTCACGTGTAATTTGCAAACCGATGGGGGGGGTCAGAAAACCCTTATGGGGGCAACGACCACCCCGCCCCACACGCCAGCCCAGACTAGTTGGACCTTCTTGAATCCCCCTTTCAAGATATCCCTGGATTGCCGGGTGGGGGCTCGTGTGAACTCAGGAAAACACGTGTCCTCCCTCGAGGAAGCGTGTCGTGCCAACACACACACCCCTCCACACACACCCTCCTCCCCCTCCCCCGCTTCCCCAGCCAGGCGGCCCTTCTCGTGGGACTACAACTCCCAGGCCTCCGGCCGCGCAGAGGATGCTGGGAAGTGTAGTTCCGGCTCCTCAGGAGG